CTTGGGTGTATGGGAGCCAGAAACCTTGTTCCTTTAGTTCACAAGTCTTCAGATCAAGAGTAAGCGTAACTAACAAAGGAAAGGACTCAAGGAACTTCATCTGGATCTAATTTATCTTACAATTTCCTGAGTGATAAGCCTGAGCCTGATGCTACATTGGCACAAGACTACTGTTTGCACTGTGAGGGAATAGTGAATATTTCATGTTAATGGATACAAAATTTGTTGTCAATGGAAAAGAAGTGACTATTTAAAAATTTAGCCACAAATACTCAGTATACATCTCATTAAGAGGTGATGTCTATGACTCCCACCCTCCCCTTTACCCCATCACAAAATGAATTTGAACAGGTTTTTACCTGCCTTGACAATGAAAATCATGTGATATGAATTTCAATGATAGGTTATAAAAGGCCATAAAGTATCTGTCCTCTTCACTAGAAAGCTCGTTCTCTGAACCTTGAGCCACTGGTGCCGGGATGATGCCAACACCACAGGGAGAGGCCATATGTAGGCATTCTAGTAGACAGTCCCAGCTGAGCTCAGCTTTTCTTTCATAATTTTTTACTGGGTGCTAGACAATATGAATTTCATGTTGAGTGGTGGATTTTTTTCTGTCAGACAATTAAGCTCCTTGTGAAGTACCTTAATCTTTTCAAGGCTTCTTGTCAACTTTGTGTGGATGGATATGAATTGACTTTTTCCCTAGGGCAAGTTTAGCCATACTTAAGGTCATGCAACTTTCCTTGGATCTCTACTGAACGCCACAAGTGTTCACTGAGGATTCTACTTTCTGGTTATTCCAACCTTGGAAGTCTCCTAGTCCTGTGTGAAGTTTTGGGAAACTTCAAATTATAATTCCCCTATTATACTTTGCCTGGCCTCATGTACTTTAACCCTGTGCATGCAGGATTTAATGTTAGTAGCAAACTCTAGAGACCATTTATGCAAATTTTGGGAGCTCTTTTACCACCTAACTTCCTCTACATGAGTCCTATATCTGGAAAATTTCAGTAGCCTCAGCTTCTTCTGACTTCTATCTCTCTCTCTCCTCAATTTAGCAATATCGCTGGGCTCCTCTTGGGTTTTTCATCCCTGCACAATGGTCTGGAAGATGCTTCCAGGCAGAAAATCTAACAATTATGGGGCTTTCCTAACTTGTCTCCCTTTTTTCAGGGATCATAATTTTATGCTGTGCGTTTTGCAATATCTGAAAAAAGTTATTTCATATATATTGTCTAGTTTTAAAGTTATTTATAATAGGAGTGGAACTTCAATCACAGTTACCCCCTCATGGATGGAAGTAGAATTCTCTATTTGAATTTTAACAGTTATCTATAACACAGGCAGAGGACTGTGCATAAACGAGGAATAACCATGATATATTATATGATCTAATAATCATAGTGGTATCATAATTTTTGAAAATGTTGTTATACACACTTAATTCTCTGTCAAATAAAAATGCCAATAAAAAGCACTAGACTCAAATATCATATTATATAATATTACTAAAATACCCTTACAGATTCCAATAATTTCATACATTTGATATTCTATATTTTTATGGTGATATTAATGTGAAATATAAATCTAAAATTCAAATATTTAGACTACATTTCATGTAAAATTTAAATTAAACATTTAGAATACAGAATACATTAGGTAATACAAGCTCAAAGAAGGGAAAGATGATACGATAAGAAAGTTTTTCTACTTGAAAAACAAGTAAAATGTGAAAGAAGGAAAAATTTCAGTTTAATTTAATTTTTTTTAAAGTCGAGAGGTAATTTTAAACTACCCCATAATGACTTTTCTTTCTTTAATAATAATATTTTACTTCCGTGCATAAATATTTGTGCTGTTCACTTTGATATGTGATTTTTTTTGGGGGGGGTTGTCAAAATCTATCATGTTTGAAACTCGACATCCATATGCAGAAGAATGAAACTCAACTTGTACCTCTCATCATATACCAAAATCAACTCAAAATGGATTAAAGACTTGAATATATATAAGACCTGAAACTATAAAATTCCTAAAAGAAAACATAGGGGAAACACTGAAGGATATAGGACTGGGCAAAGGCTTTATGAATATGACCCCAAAAGAACAAGCAACAAAAGAAAAAAATAAACAAATGGGATTATATCAAACTAAAAAGCTTCCACACAGCAAAAGGAACAATTAACAGAGCAAAAAGACAACCTACAGAATGGGAGAAAATATTTGCAAACTATACAGCTGACAAAGAATTCATATCCAGAATATACAAAGAATTGAAACAACTCAACAGTAAGAAAATAAATAATCCAATTAAAAAATGGGCAAAAGAGCTGAATAGACATTTCTCATATGAAGATATACAAATGGCCAACAGACATATGAAAAAATGCTCAACATCATTCAGCATCAGGCAAATGCAAATCAAAACTACACCAAGATACCATATCATCCCAGTTAGACTATTATCAAAAAGACAGAGAATAGCAAATACTGGTAAGGCTGTGGAGAAAGGGGAACCCTCCTACACTGTTGGGGGGACTGTAAATTCATGCAGCCATTATGGAAAATGGTATGGATTTCCTCAAACAACTACATATAGAACTGTCATATGACCCAGCAATCCCACTGCTGGGTATGTCAAAGGGAAACCTACACTCACATGTTCACTGCAGCTCTATTTACAATATCTAAGAGTTGGAATCAACCTAAATGTCCATTAACAGATGAATGGCTAAAGAAAACATGGTATATTTACACAATGGAATACTACTCTGCCATAAAAGAGAATTAAATTGCCATTCAGAGCAACATGGATGAACTTAGAGTAAATTATGTTAAGTGAAATAAGTCAGACGCAGAAAGAGAAATAACATATGTCCTCACTCATAAGTGGGAGAAGAAAAAGAGAGAAAGAAGAAGGAAGGAAGGAAGGAAGGAAGGAAGGAAGGAAGGAAGGAAGGAAGGAAGGAAGGAAGGAAGGAAGGAAGGATCACAATAATACATTAAGCTTTCAAAAAAAATAAAAAGAGAACACAGAACTGTGGTTATTAGAAGTGAGTATGGGGAAAGAGAGGAGGGTTGGAAAGAAACTAGTTAAGGGCCACAAAGATTGATTATGTTTTGTAAACATGAGTATACTAATTATCCTAATTTGGTTACTACATATTTTACACATGTATTCATATTCGATTTTGTACCCCACAAATATATATAATCAATTAAAAAATCTATCATATTTGCACGAACAGGATTAGAATGCCTGTCAAAGTAATTCTAATCACAAATATAAACAAATTCTCAGGTCAGGAACTACACAAGTAGTTTTTATATTTAGTTAGTGTGCCACAAAATCATTGTAGTCATATTGTCTATGTCTATAAGAAGACTGATGAATTCTTCATTTAAAATTATAATTAGCTCAAAAAGGTAAAAATGTAATTTCCTGAATACTGTTTTGACAATTCCCACAAGTCACTGCTCTTATTTTTGATTTCCTCCCAAATGCTTTAAACAAATTTGATTTTTTTCATTTCTTGGTTCCCTAATTTTTGCACCTCTATTTATAATTCCTCAATGATGTATTAATCTTAAATAGTACTCACTGTCGAGCTGTTAGAGCCAAGAAGTAACATCTAGAAAAGATGTCTTTTACTTTAGTTAAAGAAAAGACGGTGCAGCAGATCCTTTAAAATGTGTCTTCTGATCCAATGAGGAATCCTTCAAGAAATAGGAAATTCTTGCTATTGAAAAATATGTAGGTACTTTCCTTAACCTTAGGAACATTTTCCACAACAAATTCTATGTGCAATTGTTTGGGTGTTCTAGGAAATGCAGGTCCAATGTCCATTATAGAAATAACTACACAAGTAGGATGCATCTATTGTCAGTACATTGCATGCAGAGAAACAATGATAAAAGGCAATCAGGCCTTTTAAATATAATCTAAATTTACTCTTTAAATACTGTAGCACTTTTTTTTCCCCTGAAATGTATATTCCAAACTTCAAACCTTAACTCTATCAGTAATAACTGTGATCTCATGAGACCCAGAAGAAACAAAAAAACCCTGCTTCATATTCAGAGAGATATTTGAAGACTGACATGAAATTTGAATTGAGAAAGGTATTAGCATTTATACAAGAAGCTGTTTTTGAAATGTGAATTTTAGCCAAATTATATATGCAGAAACCATACAAATGAAACATGAGATTCTTGTCTGCCAGAATGAAGAAATTTAGTTTTGGGCTTTGTAGCCAAAAGACCTCTTCATGAATTAATAAATAGTTCGTTCCTTGCATCTGCCACCCAGTCTTTCAAAATACTGGCTAGACAATATCATTGTCACAATGATTACTGTTATTGCTAACGGGGGAACTATTTTCTTTATATGCTTTGTTGTTGATCTAGTAAATATCACCAGATATGACTGATTTACAATGAAAGGCAACATAGTACAGCAGTGAAAGGCACATGCTCTGGAGCCAGGCTGGATTTAAATCTTTTAATCATTTGTTAGGGATGTGATCTTCAGCATATCACTCACCCTCTCTGTGTCTGTTTCTTGTCTGCTAAAAAAAAAAAAAAAAAAAAAAAAAAAAGCGGGGTGCAGGAGGGGATCATAACAGTATCTACCTCACTGGGTTTCTAGGAAGGTTAAATTTGTAAATATAATAAAGTGCTTAAAACAGCAGCCGACAAATAGTAAGGACTAGGAGAGTCTGATGTTTATTATTATTACCACGCTGCTGTTATAACTAACAACCGGATGCAGAACAGAGTTCTATCAGTTCTATCGTGATTACTAATGAAGGCGCCACTGGAAAAAGAATCCAGGAGCGTCGTGAGCGTGGCAGCGCCTTTGCAGAAGCGACGATCAACGAGGAACATCCACGCTCGCAGCCCCGGGCCTGGCGCCGGGTAGGGGCGCGGCGCTCGATTTCCTTCCCTGCCTCCGCCGTCCCCTGGTGCGCATGCTCAGCCCTGCTCGGCCCTCTCCTTTGATTTATTTTCTTCTGGGTGGCCGCGGCGACCCGCGACTGGCTCCGGGATGGGACGTGGAGCCCCCGGAGCTGCGGCGGTGGCGGCGGCGGCGCTGTGAGGAGCAGCCAGGGGGAGGCAGCTGCGGCTCGTCGGTGAGTATCCGGGAAGCGCCACCATGGGGTTCCGTAAGAAGAGCACCAAGAACCCCCCAGTGCTGAGCCAAGAATTCATCCTGCAGAATCATGCGGACATCGCCTCCTGTGTGGGGATGTTCTTCCTGCTGGGGCTTATGTTCGAGGGAACATCAGAAGTATCTATCATTTTTCTTACTCTTCAGCACAGTGTCATCGTCCCTGCAGTAGAAGAACAAGCTACGGGAACCAAATCCCTTTATTATTATGGTGTCAAAGATTTGGCTCCGGTTTTCTTCTACATGCTGGTGACAATAATTATTCACGCCACAATTCAGGAATATGTGTTGGATAAAATTAGCAAGAGAATGCAGTTCACCAAAGCGAAACAAAACAAGTTTAATGAGTCTGGTCAGTTTGGTGTATTCTACCTTGTGTCTTGTATCTGGGCCACATTCATTCTGATCTCTGAAAACTGCCTGTCAGACCCAACTCTCATCTGGAGGTCTCATCCTCATAACATGATGACATTTCAAATGAAGTTTTTCTACATATCACAGTTGGCATATTGGTTTCATGCTTTACCTGAACTCTACTTCCAGAAAACCAAAAAACAAGATATCCCCGGTCACCTGGTCTACATTGGCCTTCACCTGTTCCACGTTGCCGGAGCTTATCTTCTGTACTTGAATTATCTGGGACTTCTTCTTTTGGTGCTGCATTATTTTGTTGAATTACTTTCTCACATGTGCGGCCTGTTTTATTTTAGTGATGAAAAGTACGAGAAAGGGATTTCTCTGTGGGCCATAGTGTTTATTTTGGGTAGACTTGTGACTTTAATTGTTTCGGTAGTCACTGTTGGGTTTCACCTGGCTGGATCGCAGAATCGGAATCCGGATTCCATCACTGGAAACGTAAATGTGTTGGCAGCTAAAATTGCTGTTCTGTCCTCCAGTTGCACTATCCAAGCATACGTAACGTGGACCTTAATTACTGTCCGGCTTCAGAGGTGGATAGAAGATTCTAATATTCGGATCTCATGTGTGAAGAAGAAACGGTCCACGACTAAAGGCAGGTCTTCTAGAAAAGGAACAGAAAATGGAGTGGAAACTTCAAATAGAGTAGACACTCCCCCAAAGAGGAAAGAAAAATCTGCCTAATGAATTACAAGCTAATTGGCTAATGTTTCCAAAGGAATCTGCTCTTTATTATAAGATAATCATTCTGCACTAGAGATTTTTCTGTTGTTGAAAATAGTTTCTGCTCATTGTTTTTTTTTTGCTATTGTACTGTCTAATGTATTTTTTTTAAGGCATTTGGGGAAGGATGATTATTATGATTGGACAAAAAAGATCATTGCAGTTAAGACTAAGCTTCTTGTCAAAATAGTGTCAAAACCGTGAAGGAATCACCACTGTATTTCGATTTGATTTTTTACCGTTGGACATTTTCTTAATGATTTGTATGCATAACTACAAAATTCCACATATCAGTGATACAAGTTCTTGCTCTCACCCATCTTTTATAATATTAACAAGATGGTCTGTTATAGCAAGGTCATATTTTTAATGTTCTCTTTCAGGGTAAAATGGAAATGCTATAAAGGTGGAAGTGCAATCAGTTTTCTCTTATCGTTGGAATTTTTTTAGAACTTACAACTGAGGAAAGATTTGTAAAACCACCAAAATAATAATGTGTTTTATTTTATAGGTAGTGATTGTTAATGCTACATCCCCATTAAAAAAACAAAATAGTAATGGGTAACATGTATGGCGATGTATTGCTATAAATATTGAAATTGAATCAAAATATCTTTAATTAATATAAAAGAGGTAAAATCATTCTTGTCCATTTTAAACAATTGTAAATGAGAAATCATAAAATTAAACATATTACTGTGAAAAGGAAATCAGACTTAAATTGTCTTTTTTGATATGTTTATTAAAAATGATTCTTAATGAGGTTTCATAAGTAACCACATCCTCTTAGAAAAATATTGTTTAAGCTATAAACCATTTTGAAAAATAATGCTTGATTTTTATGTATAAAATGAATGTCAGCTGATTACATTTGGAAAACATTTCATGCACTAACCTTAAATAATTTGAAAACTAGGTGGATAGTATTATAAAAGGCTTTTAAAAATAATGTTATAATTATTGTTTTACTTCCATATTTAACTGAGAAATGTCTATCTGTATATGATGTATTGGAGATTATTTATATACATATATATATGTATATAATTTTTATCTTTACAGAAGCCAGTAGAAACAATGGGCTGTAGTTGGTGAGTATTTATATTTATTTCCTCTCAATCCTCATTTTGGTTTTATTTCCATAATGTTGAATGTTTATTTGTTTTTAAGGTGACAGTACTTTAAAAATATGCTAGGGTAAGGCCATATATTTCTTATTTCTCTATATTTTCTAGTACTCTGTCTCTCATGTCTTTGTTTTTGATAGCTCTCCATTTGGTTTGTTGTAAGTAATTTAACTTTTCTATTCATGGGGGTCTGCAAAAATTAAATTAGTAAATTATATCACAGACTATAGACAGACAATAACCACCCTTGGAAAAACTTTCTTTTCTATTTTTATTCTGCCTGCTTTCAGAAGTAAGTATGAAAGAAAGGTTTATTACTTTTTGACTATAAAATTTATCATCCTGTTTTTTTCTTTTTGGTTGCCTAATATTATAGTATTAGTAGCACACACTCTGAGGTCCAAAGTAAAATAATTCACATTTTAGCCAACTGTTGTGTAGTTTTAAAACAATGATTTTCAGCTTCTCATATTACAGAATTTTTTTCTCACTTCCCTCACTTTTTAAGAATTCTAGCCCATTTCTTGTAACCCCACTCCTGGTAAAAAATAATAAATATATGATTTGCAAATAAGTGCAAATCTGACTCAAAATTAAAAAGAGTGCAGGAAAGTCATTGTTTCACATGACTACCTGTGCCAAGAATTATTGGGCTTGGCAATAAATATGATTAGGACCCAGATTGATATTCCTGGGATTTTCTTTCTCTGACCCTTCAGATTGACTTTCTACATTGCAGCAAATAACTACAGTTGTTTTAGGTTTCACTTCTTCAATGCTTTGTGATAGAGGTAATAGGAAGAGGAGTAACCTGGTTTCTAAAATCCCGGAACACTGAGAGTTACTGGACTGATTAGTTTAAGTTAGATTATATGCTCTGCCTGTGGAAAAAGCCAAAGCCCCTTTCACGTAAAATATGAGTTCGCAATAGGTAGCTAGTGTTTTGAGAAAGAAAAAGAAGGAAGGGTGCTGGGTACATCTCAACTATTCATGAGTTCAAAAAATGTCAGAAAATAAATGTATGTCCAATAAACTATGAAAGCAACATTACAAATGAAATTCAGCTTCATACAGATTGTCTTTCTCCTTTTTAGAAAAATTACATTCTTAAAAGACTCATGCTGTAATAAATCTCAGTTTGATAATTTGGTCTTTGTCAAAGTGGGTCACATGGAAACATAAATTTCCATTATGAATAAAGGTATTATTAAAGCAGGCATTAGTTAAATCCTGTGTAAGTTCAAATAACTGATTAATTACCCACAACTGCAAATGTCCTAAAGATATGCCTGACAATTTACAGATTCTGCTGTGATTTATTGGCTTTCATATATGTCAAACTTCATTCCTTAAATAAGTTTACATGTATAGATTTCCTTTATCCCTTTTTAAAAAAAAATACAAATAGTATGAATGTGTCATTCAATCTACATATTTTGTAAGCAACAAACAAGTTTTAGGCCCCTTATTCTCTTACTGAGCAGTATAACCTTCCATTTCATTTCAATAAGAAAATAATAACCTTTTAAAAAATGTCGTTTATCTTCCATCAGTATTTGTTTGTAGGGGAATCATGCATGGCAAATACCGTATAAACTTGTAATTCATTTAAGAAGATTAGAACTATCACATTAATAATTTAAAGCTTTCTTGAAGACAAAATATTCTGATATCCTTTTAATTTGGAAAACTGATGGTAAAGTTTTAAGTTCTCACTCAACTAGGCTGAATGGTAATAATTTACATAGAGTAACAAAGGACTATTCTCCAATGCTTTACACAGGAAATGTCATATTGGAACAGTTTCTTGAAATTCTTGGGGGAAAACATGCTTGAGAAGGTGGCATGTGGAACGGGCCAGGATTGGGTGGTAGCATTATGGTAGAGAATGCCTTCCAATTGGAAGAGCAGACCTTTGTAATCTGGAGACAGGGGTGACTTGGCCAGCTGAGAGGAGAGAGTGTTGGCAAATATATGGAGGTAACTGATTCCTAATAACATCAAACGAGACAACCAGAGAATTCACATTCCCACCTCCTGACTTTCTCTGGAAATAGAGGAAATTTTCTTTTCACTGCCATCTTTCAATCAAATGTACATCCTGTGAGAAACTACCCATACTAAATAGGACACAGTATTACATGCCAATTCTCCTCAATTATGTAGAAAAATATCATAAATCCTTTAAAGAAAAAAAATCATACATTTCCGAAATATTAAATTGAATTTTTCATATGATTATATAATTGTGTTTGTCTAAATTTTGCCATACAAGTCCCTATAAGCAAGTCCTTTATAAGCTCTGTCCCATCATTGGCAGTTTTAAGTATTCAATAAATGTGGAATTAGTGAAACATTAAGAAATCTGCTCCTGAGGTGATTCACCTGAATGCTCCTCTTTCCTGGCAGGTGACATTGTGTTTTGTCCTACAGCATTATGTTAGCTAATAGTTTTCATTTTAAAATATAAGAAAATATGTCGATGTATTAACTGACCACTCAGAGAATAAGTACATAGCTGAGGAAATGATATGTGATTAAAGGTTCACTTGAATTTAAAAATGAAAAGTGTTTAATTAACTTCAGAGTAATGATGTGTGCAACTTCTAGCCAGCCTAGAAGTGACTAGCGTCACTGTTAAGGGATGTGGCTACTCGATAATTCAGGAAAAATATCAATTTTAAACAAAGAACAAGTTAAGTCCATCAATTAAAAGTAAAAAAAAATGTCCAGTTTCAGCACCACCAGCACTATTCATCAGATCAAATCATTTACCATGCAGGATCTCATGGCTTGAGGAAAGTTTGAGAAAATACACAATATTTACTAGTGACCAACTGGGATTTCTCCTTAGCCATCACACACTGAATAGTATTTACATCCCAAGATAAATTTAATATTTTGTTCTCTTACTGCCGTTTTTGCTTAATTACCAAAAAGCAGCTGTACTCTTATAGGAGCCCACCATAGCATGTAGCCATAGACACTTAGCCTTAGAAGAGCCATTTTGTAGAATACAGCTTTAAAAAGAATGCTAATCATAAGTCTTTTTGTAACCTTGGCTTATGGGAAGCATAACTTCTCTGCATAGCTTATGGGAAAATGCTACCAGACTTAGTGCTCATGAAGAGCAAGATAATAAGAGCTAATCAGCAACTTGGTGAACTAAACCATTCTTCCTTGGAAGTCACAGCTGCCCAGGAACAAGATGGCATCCAGCTTGTGGAAGCCAGATAACAGCGATGTCCCAAGGACGAGCTGAAGAATTACAGAAATGACCGTGAGAGTCTGCAAGATTGCACATAGTATCCCCTTGATATGGGAATAACCTCCTCTTTTGTTTCCCACATTTTTCTCTTTAAAAGTACCGCTGATGCGCCTGAGCCTTTGAGACAGTTCAGCCTGTCTCCCAGGTTGCATTTCCTGAATAATGCTTCCAAACATTGCACTGACAGCTCAGACTCTTGAGTCCTTTATTTCTTGTAAAAGAGTGGCCATACTTGGTGCCGGTAACACTCTTGCCTCTTGCCTCAGCTTTCAAATAAACAAAATCCATAAATACAAAGTTGCCAAAGCTGTCAGTGCAAATATTGAAATACAATTAGTAAACCTTAAAGTAAACCTTACTACCTCTTTTTTTTTTTTTTTTTAAAGATGTTTCTCACTATTTTGAAATAAATTCAGCAGAGGAAGATAGTAATAGGATTATAAGTAATGGTTAGCAAAAGAAGTCAGGGTCAAGCCCCTGCTGTGGCCCTTAGAGCTGTGTGAACTTTGGAAAAGACTTAAACATTAAAGTTTTGAATTGCATGTCACTATTGTGGCAGAGATATTTATCTATCTTAAAAAGCTGCCATTAGGATTAATAATATATACATATACAGTATCATAGTTTCTTTGTACATATGTTTGTATACAAACTTTTAAGTATATTTTTATGTATATGTATTTCAGTATTTCATATATATATAAAGTCTCATTTAACACACACTTAACACATATTTATATGTGTGTCTGTATTTATGCATACATTTATACATATGCACATATGTATACACATTTGTAAATATTCCCCTCTACATTTATTTTCAATGGACTATATTTTTTAGGGCCACAGAAAGATTGAGTGGAAAGTACAGTGTTCTCATATATGCCCAACCTCACCCATACACAGCCTATCCCTCAGTCAACATCCCACAACAGAGAGGTATAATTGTTACAATGGATAAACCTACATTGACCCATCATTGTCACCTCAAGTCCATAACTTAAATTTGGGTTCACTTGAGGTTTGCATTCTATGAGTTAGGCAATAGAAAATTCAATTACAGTGAATCTGTTTCCCAAAAGTATGAATTTTTGTAGGCTAAACAAATAATGTACATTATAAACACATATATGACTATAATCAAAATGTCTAGAAATTATCTTCTGAATAAATACTTATTTTAAAGTTATTAAATTAATAACTATGAACTATTTTTTAACATAAATTACAGAAAATGCATATGATAGCCTGTGAAAACTCTTGATATATATTAATTTGAATATAGGTGCTATACTTGACTCTTTAAAACCATTGGTCTAGGTAAATTACATTAAGGATAAAAATTAAATTCTCATCATATTCAAAATTAAACTTTCAACTAAATAAATTAAGCATTTATGTAGGAAAATAAAAGCATCAACAATCATTTTAGTAGTTATGGATATTAGGCAATAATCTCTTTGGTGTCAGGTAATATTCATTTTGCATCATTACATTCTTATTAACTTTCATTGTGTCTCTGTTTAGTAGTTTCTCAGAATTTGTTGAACTCAGTTGAAATATCTTCTTACTTCATTATTAAAACAAGTAAACCGAACTTAGTGCATTCCTTTGCTATCTTTTCTGATATGGACTTCCTTTTTAAACCTATCACCCTTTCCCTATTTTAAGTATTAATTTTTGATTTATTGCCTGT